AAAAAGACGATGATTCTACCGAGACAAGAAATGCATTGGTGGGTCAGATCCTGACTCATCAACCTGAAGAGGGTTTTTTGTTGTTTGGTGTTTGAAGTCATGAAAAGGCTTAAAGAACCTAGTTTGTTACAATCTTGGGTAGACCTTTCTTGGCAGAGAAAGAGAAGTACATGAGTCAAGTCAAACCACTCCAGACAAGGAAGAGAACCACAGACAACACATGGGGTGGATGTGCATAAATCAGGCACTGATTCTTTGTTTAAAAGTTTTATTTATTAAAAAGGAGGGACAGACAGACAGCAGGCAGACACACACACTCCTGGTTGAAGGGCTGTCTCACATGGAAATGCCATTGTTCTAGGAGAGGAAAAACAGGAACCACAACTTCGATAGAGCGTCTGACATGCAAAAGGATGAACTGTCTGAGGACCTCTTACCTGGAAAATTCATCAACTCGCCACTGTGTTTCTTTCCTTAAGCAACAAACTCCTAAGTGTTTCCCCTAAAACTATGAACTATTGCAAGTGCTGAATACTAAGATTGATTCCAACCGGTCTCCACTTCATGAAGCTCCAATTTTAGAAAACAGCTGGTTGTCCTGGCAATGCAAGGACGCACACGCTAGGACTTGCAGGCTGAGAACAAGGCCGTCCTCCACCCAGTGTTTGGGAACTAGAGCCCTGTCTCACCCTGCCTTTGCTGACACTCCGGCTTAGATGCGGCTTGAGAACTTCACTCTCGCGCACTCTCGCGAGCTTCTGCCGCCCTCCTAGGAACTGACACACTTGCTTGACTACTGAGCAAGTGTCCGACTGCCTTCCTCCCCTCCCCTCCTGATTCTCCGATCTTTGCCCCTGGCCTGCATTTCCATACCCCTGGCTGCAGATCTCTGACCTCATGCTCTCCAGCTCCCTGGGCTCTGAGATCTGAGCTCCCTAAGCCTCAGGAGTGAAAGGAAGAAACCAAGTTCCTAATCAGAGAGGGGGCTGGGGGGTGGGGGGGATGGGCTGGGGAAGGCTGAGGTCATACACCACAGGGTCCCCTCAGGGTCAGGCTCAAGAACTCAAGTTCCTCAGTGAGAACGCAAGTAGCCACCTGGGCACCCTCTCTGGACAATGCTGGAAAACCAGACTTTCTTTCTCAACAGTTCTGGACACCAGCTTTTTTATCCTCTACAATTGATTAGATTCTAGCTTGCTTTCACTTTCAGCCATGTTTTGGCTATCCGAGCTCCTCAGGTTCACGATTTGTTCTTAATCTTAAAGTGTGGACTAAGGATTCTGCAGAAAAGTAACATGACCTGTTAGTGCACTGTGACTACTATTTAAGGGGACAGATATTTCCCTCCAGGGATGTCCCAACCCAGTTGCTCCAGCACACAGATGACAGTTGAGGGGGTATTTTGCTCTTTAGGGAATGGAGACATTTTGGTCTGTCCTGAGACAAGTGCTAATGAGGTGAAATGGACGAATAGAAGCTGGGGATGCTTCCAAACACCCGAAATGCACAGGACAGCCCCAGACAACAGAAACTGGTCCAGCCCCAAATGTCAGCAGCACTGAGGTTGAGAAAGCCTTGGTTAAACCAAGAGGCCCAGAAAGATTACATAAGCGCTTCTCACTGGGGCAGAGGTTCGGCACAGTTCTCTGAAATCATCACCAGCTCACCTAATGCTCTGACGACTGGAATGACTGTGCTTCTGCTCGTGGCATTTACATATGCCCACCCAAGAGTTCAGTTATTTCTCGTTAAAAGCACCACTAACCAGTTATCCCTGACCGCATGGAGCCATGGACCCAGCTGGCTCCTAGAACTTAGGAAACATTCCTTATTGTGCACACAGGGAGGTGTTGTGTGGGAGTTCTGGCCAAAATTTGGGATGTCGGCAGTGCCGAGTGAGGAAAACGTTGAGGAGGAAAGCAGAACTAAAAGTCTGCCCTGGAGTAGACATCCACTGGGCTTGTGATGCCTAAACAATTTCATGAGTAAGAGAAAACACAAATGAACAAATGGAGCCTACTTTGGATGTGACCCACGCCAGCTTCATTGCACAGGTAGGAACATTTTTTCCTGCAAAGAGCCATTTGGATGTCTAACACATCGTTGGTGGGCCGTCCACAGTTACCAGCTTCAGAAAACCAGCCTGCTATAGAATGACTGAATTTGAAGTCCCACCTGTGGTTGCCTTGGCAGGACTGGACCAAAGGATTTCCTGGGCTCCATCCAGTGCATGGGCCAGACGGTCCCTACCCTTGGCTTAGGGGTTTCTTTCACTCTCCTGCTTTCTCCCATAAGTGGGGGGAGGGGGGGGGAAGGAGAGAGGGAGGGAGAAAGAGAGAGAGGGAGAGAGGAATTCAAGACTGAGAATTACTCTGCTGTGACAGAGAAAGTTCTGGTTCAGCGCTAGGGTTCGGAATAAGGGCAAGGACAGGGAGATGGAGTCTCTTATGGAGACCAGTCCCTTTAAAAGCCTAAAAAATTTTAAAGATGACATTCTGACTTCTGGCGTTAATATTCTCCTCTTTTCCCTTTTAACAAACAAAATATTGAGAACTCGAAGTGAACCCTGGGTGTGTGGGCCTCCTAGGGCCATACTAAATGCAGGCAGGGGTGTTGAACTAGGGGATAGCCACGGCAGGATCTGAGTTCCGGAGCGACCACCAAGCAGATCACCTGAGCTGGAGAAATTAGTTTCTAATAACACGATGAACGAGCCAAAAAAAAGTTCCAAGTGGATGACAGGTGAAAACATTGGGTCTGGACTTGAAACTTTCGGGCAAGTGCCCACAACCTAACTAGTTGTGTTCTTAAAAGTACCTCTGACTCCTGGAAACACAGTGGCACAAGAGGAGATGGAAGGAAGTAAAAGTAATTCAGACCTTCAGACATTCCCAGGTGAAGGTTCTCACTTTAGGGAGGAAGAAGCTGGCTCGGGAGAGTTGATCATGAGGGGAGCTAGAAACCCAGGCTGGCCTTGGGGTTCCCCAGGCAGTCCACGAACCAGACTGTGCTGCCTCTAGCCAGGAAGGTAGTCAAAATAATGACATAATGACGGCGTGAGCAGAGGGCAAGTAGGTGGGCTGTGCAGGTGACTGGAGGCAGGACATAGAAGAGGAAGTGAAGGTAGGGCAGGAACAGGCACCAAGCAAGGGGCAAGGCGGCTGCTGGTTGGTCCGGGCCCCATCCTGCTACAGTAACAATGCAAGTGCACATTGAGTGGGGGCATCCTACACGTAGGGTTCTTCTCTTAACATGAGTTGCTTGTTTAAAGGACAGAGTGACAGAGAGGGAGAGAGAGAGAGAGAGGAGAGGGAGAGAGAGAGAGAAATCTTCCATTTGCTTGCTCGTTTTCAAATGCCCACAACAGTCAGGGCTGGTCCAGGCTGAAGTCCAGATCCAGGAACTCCATCTGGGTGTCCCACATGAGTGGCAGGGACCCAGGGACTTGGGCACCTTCTGCTGCTTTCCCAGGTGCATCAGCAGGGAGCTGATCAGAAGCAGAGCAGTCAGGACTCCAACCGGCACTCTGACGTGGGATGCAGGCAGCACAAACAGTGGCTTAACCTGGTGTGCCACAATGCTGGGCCCCACGTGGGTTCAGGCACCCTTTCCTGGCCAGAAGATGTGATGCACAATGAGAGGAATGGCAGCAAGTGAATTCTGCAAGCTCTTTCCAAAACCACATTCTTCAGGAGCCCACTGCTGTTTTCTCAACCCACAAAATTCATTAATATTTACTAAGTCTCTTATGTGCTAAATGCTGTCCCAGGCCACCTGACTGTGGCAGTCAGTCAAAGTCCTTTGTCTTTCTGGACATTGCTGTCTAGTGAGACAGATTTTGAAAAACAAGCAAACAAATACGGCACTTTCCAATAATGTGAAATGATATGAAGAATACTGGGATAGTATGACGGTGATGGAGGGCTGAGGCTGTCACGAGTGGTCGGGAAGTCTCTGAGGAGACGACTTTAGGGCTGCAATCCTGAGGACGGGGGCAGCCCCCCGAGTGAGAGGTCTGGGTAATGGGCACAGCCCCGCAGAGGTTCCCCGGCAGGATCCAGAAACACAGGCCAGTGCGAGGGTAACTCCCCCAGTGTGGGCGAGCAGAAGGAATGAGGTCAGCAGACAGTCAGCCATCTTCCAATGGATGCACCAAGCTTTTATTAAGCGCTTACTATGTGCAGGGACTGCTGAGGATCCAGAAATGAAACCGAGATACCCCTGACTCTAAGTGTCCCCAGGGAGGAACCTCAGAATGCAGTAAGGACGACAGAATTCTCCCGAAGTCTGCCACAGGTCAGACAGGGAAGCTGCCACAGGTCAGACAGGGAGTCACAGCGCAGACACTGGCGAGGCCCCCGGGGGAACCCGGGCACGCGCCTTCCAGAAGTGCCCTGTGGCCTGATGCAGGGGACGCAGGCCAGTCTGAAGCTGGGGGGTTCGGCAAGGCCCTCTGCCTGCCCAGGGCGGAGAGGTCAGGCCTCCCCAGAGGTGAGTCACCTAGCCCACCTTTCCCCACCGGCTGTGCCTTCTCGGTCGCGGTGGGCGGGGCAGGGCCGCAGGAATCCCCCAACCTAAATCCGTCACACGCAGAAAACCCAGGCAGGGGAGCCCCCAAGAACGAGGCTCTGATTAGCGCCTGATTCACAGTCAAGCCAGGCAGCTGCTGCTGGGAACAGCCCACCTCCAGCCCCCGCGCCCAGGGCGCCCGGGGCGCAAGGCCGGGGGCACTCGGCGTGGGGGTGGGAGGCCCCGCCCGCCCGGGGGCCCCGGCAGCAGCACCCGCACCCGCGCCCAGCCGGCCGCTCCCGCAGCCCCGGCCCCGCACAGGGCGGGCGGCGCCTGCGCCCTGGGCTCCCGGCCCCAGCTGTCGGCGCCCGCATCGAGGGGCGCGGCGCGGCCGCCGGGAACCCGACCGCCAGGCCCTGGGTGCGGTCAGGCGGGCCGAGGAGGGGCGGGGAGCGGCGGCCGAGCGAGACCGCTTCCCGGCAGAGGTGCGGGAGCCCGAGTGCCCTGCCGGGGCCGGGAAGTTCCGGGGCGGCTGGGCGGAAAGTCCTGGCGTCCATGCCAGGCCCCGAGTGGCCCGGGCCGCCCCGGCAGTGACTGTGGTGGCTGACGCGGCGCGCGCCCCGCCCGCGCGTCCCTCCTCCGGGTGTAACATGCCCTGAGCGCGCGAGAGCGCGCGGCGGCCACCATGGGCAATGGCATGAACAAGGTAACGCGTCTCCCCGGGCTGAGGGGAGGGAGGCCGGCCCGTGCGTTTCGGGGCGCCCGCACCTCGGGCCGCCGCACCGCAGCGCACGCCGCTCGGGCTTCCGGGAAGCCGCGCCTCACGCGCGCCCGGCCGGCCGGTCCTCGGCGAGCCCTCGGCGAGCCGTGCCCTTTGAGGGCGTCCACACTCGCGCGGCCCGGGGGCCCCCCGCCGCGCTCCGAGCGCCTGTGGTTTCTTTCGGCTCCCGGAGTGGGCTCTCGAAGCTTCGCCGCCCACAGCATGAGTCAGCCGGCGTCCATGGGTGTCTCTGTGCTGCCATTTCCTCTTTTCTCCTGATTCGCTTTCCCTCCCGTGTAGACGCGAGTTTTTCTCCGGGGACGGAGACGTGGACAGAGGGTCTTGAGGACGGAGTTGGCGCCCCCCTCCTCGAGCCCCTACCCTGGGGCGGTGTGGCGGCCGCGGGGGCAGCCTGTTAGGGGTCTTGCGCTGAGTGTTCTAGAACAGTCGGTGTGGCTCTCTTTGGCCCGGTTCTGTGGGGTTGGCAGGGTGTCTCCCTGCAGCTGGGAGCTGCCTGGGTGTGCCCGTGTGGAGCCTAAGCTTGAGGATTCGTGCTCCAGGACTTGCTGGTGTAGACTCAGCGCAAAGACCTGGAAGACTCCAGGGCCCTCGACGCAGTCCAGTACTGATTTAGACAGTGACCGGCTCTGGGTCAGATCCCCCTCTGCCTTCTGTGTCCCGTCCTGCACTGCGTGCCGCCCACCCGCATCCGCACAAACGCTGGGCGTCCATGTTGGGCGGGTGTGGAAGTGTGGCTCCCATCCATCTCCCTGGAGTGTGCGCTGGTTCGTTTCCTTAGCTGGAGTGTTGGGGTTCAAGGCAGGGCAGGAAACGTGCCGTGGGGGGACATCCCGTGTCCCGGCTCAAGTCTCTCCACCTGTGACTTGGAGACCTGGTTTTTGAGAGAACTGTGTGTTTGGGGCCTGCATGCCACTCACTGAGGTATTTTGGTACCAAGCATTTTGATCACTTGGTTTTCCCTCTTCTTTTTTTTTTTCCTGGCCATTGGCCAAGTTTGGGAGACAGCCATCTACCCTTTGGATAAGTACTTGAGTTATGGACCCATTTGCGCTGGAATCCATCAGCACCTTCTGATTTTAAAATTAGAGAACAGGAGGCAGGTGTTTGGCAGAGTGGTTCGGGTGCAACGTGGGATGCCGGCAGTGCCTGGTTGGAGTCCTGGCTCGGCTCCTGCTTCCAGCTTCCTGCTGATGCACACCCGGGGGGCGGGCGTGGGGAGGCTGCAGTACTGGCTCCAGTTATCTGGGTCCCTGCCTTTCATCGGGGAGATCCAGACCCAGTTCTGAGCTCTTGGTTTTGGCCTGGCCCATCCCCACCTGTCGCAGGCATTTAGGGAGTGAGCCAGCAGGTGGAAGATATTTGTCTTTCTGTCTCTGCCTTTTGAGTAAAATACAATAAGAAATAAAGATAAAATCAGAACAGAACAAGGGTGCTCATCACGTATCCGTGGACGCCGTTGACTGTGGTCACCCTTCTGTTTTCCTTGGGCTGTTGCTTGTTTCTCATACCTGAGTTGTTCACTCTCCACCTCTTTCTGCATTTAATTTGTAGTGTTGTATATTATAATTTAAAGACTCTGTTCAGGAATACAAATGGTTGCCTTAAGGCATCAAAAATTATTTTAACACTTTTCAGCAGAAGCATATGAATAGCGTGAGTATTGCTTTTGAAGTAATACATTCTTGGCTGTTTTCCTGTCCTGACGTCTTGGATGTAGGGACGTGATACCCAGGGTACAGTTCAAAAATATTGTCATTTCAACATGTAACCAAAGCATTATTGGTGGAATATGTTAGTTTTTTCTGAGCCAAGTCTTCGAAGTCTCGTGTGTATTTTAGACTTGAATCACATCTCACTTGCGACTAGCCACATTGCAAGTGCTCGCTAGCCACTGTGGCTAATGGCACTGCATTGCGTAACGCTGGTTGTTGTGTGTGTGAAAGCAGGGTGGAGGTGGGGCCGACACGAGGCCGGGGTAGCAGGAGCTCCTGGGGACGAGACAGGCAGTTTCGGGAGTGGCAGAGTAGAAGAGGCGTTGAAGGCAGCCTCAGGATAGCGCTCGGGGCTGGCAGAGGCTTCTGCTGGAGTCACACGCATCACAAGATTAGTTAGCGCCAAAGTAGATTCCTGGGAACCAGTAACAAAGAAGCTCTTCTAGGATTTTCCATGGATTTACTGTGTGACTTGGAGTAAGGCTTCATAGTTTACCCATCTGAAAAAAAAAAAAAAAAAGAAAAAAGAAAAGAAAAGAAAAGAATGGCTGGTGTGATTTGCAGTTTGTAGAAGAAGCTAACCATAGAAATGTCTTTCTCGGGACATTTATGGATGAAAAAGGTGCCACACCTTTGGAACTAAAAACGTGGCTTGTAATGTGTGTGCCCCGCAGTAACTAGGACCATCTCCTACACTCAATCTTAGCCAAAAGGCCGAGAAGCGATTGGGCGATGAGGACCATCTCCTGCAAGTGGGTCATCCTTGACCACAAGACTCGAGTAATCGATGCAGACTGCACCCTGCCGCTCTGAGGGAGCAGTTTCCGTTCATGCTCCCATCCCACGGAGGAGCTTCTCCTGGGTCCGTCCCAGGCCCCTGTGTGGTGTGTGGCGGAGCGTCACGCCTGTCTTAGGGAAGTCGGGGAGGGATGCTCTGTGTGGTCAGCTAAAGGTGCTGACGAAGTGGAGAAAAGCAGCCAGCAGTTGTGGTCCAGTCTTTATCGAGCCTCGTAGCATGCGCCTGCGCTCAGTAAAGATCTAAGCCTCGTTCTAGCCCTGTGAGGCCGGCTGTCTCATCCGGTCTGTGGAGACTGCGAGATGCAGAATGACAGGTTAGGTGATTCCAGTGCTAACAGGTTTGGACTCCAGTTCCTGTTCGTTTCAAAGACAGCAGAAGTCTTTCCCTTGATCTGGAAGCCACTTCATCCCGAGCGCGTCCTGAAGTCCCTGAAAGAGCCTGAGAAGCTCCTCAGGTTGACTGTAGAACAGGCGGTCACCTCCCCTCAGCCTTCGTGTTTGGCTTTGATAAAGGGGGTAGAGGCAAGCAGCTAAAAGGATCTCATTGCCTTTCACACGCTCCTCAGATAGATGCCGTCCAGCTCCCAGAATCATAACCCCGATAAGCTGCTGCGTGCCAGGCCCCGTGTTGCCACATCACCCATGGAGTAGCTCATCTCCACGCCTCGCCACCCACCTGTAGAGCAGGTGCTCTTGTTTTCGTGCCTGTCTTGCAGGTGAGGCGCACAGAGGTTAAGGGATCTGCCCACAGTCACTCAGCTGGACCCGAAGCCAAGTGGGCTGGGTTATAGCCACGGAGAGATTGCCTCACTGCTGCTAGAACAGGCTGGCAGACGTCCCTGGTGAGGCTAGGGTTAAACTAAACAGGCTGTTGCATGCAACCCTCATGCTCCTCTCCAGCCTTTGAAAACTAGTTGACTCCGAGTTTTCGCAAGAGTCTGAGTGAATAAACCTTTTGAGGGAGGTCCTGTGCGTAAATCTCCCCTCCTCGCTGTTATCTGGGTGGTTTTAAGTACTACAGTACCCCATTCAGGACAACGCAGAACAAAGCATAAAGCCCCAGCCAAGCGTTATGTCAAAAACAGCTGCCTCCACCGCTTCTCGGGTGCGTGTCTCCATTGGATCAACCTAGATTGCTGACTTAAGGACAGAGCCTCGCCCTGCCCGTGCAGGATGGGAGGAGCCGCTGGCCCTGAAGCTGGCCCCGCACTGACCACTGTTGGTCTGTCTCCTCGAGCATCCAGGCTGGTGGCCTCTTCCTCGCTCCCTGCTCTGAGCGCCTCCTGCCTGGTGGGAATGGTGCCGCCCCATATTCCGTGGGGAGCCCGTGGGTGGTGCCAGGGGCAGTCGCTTGGATCGGTGCATCACTTTTCCATCAGAGGCCCATTGTTGCTAGGAGGAGCCCCCAAACCCACCACCCTGCCACTTCTTGGGCGTGATTTTGAACAAGTTTCACGTTTCAGATCTTCAGTGTCTTTCTCTTCGTGGATCCATAGATGTTTAGAACTGGAAGCCTTGCTGGATAGCTCGTCTGGTTTGCTTATTTCCTCTTTAACAAGTACAACGCAAGTACAACCTGCCCCAGCTACTACTGACACTGTTGGGAGAAGCAAGTGAGAATTCGTTACGAGACATTTTCACAGATTCTAGAGCACAAATTTGTCGTGTTATTCGCATGTTGGGATTTGTCCCACCAGTGGTTACAGTGACGACATCCGCCTTGGTTATGGCTGGCACCTGTTTTAGGCGGGTCCTGGCCTCAGATAAGGTGTGTGGTTCAGAAGGAGTCATAGTTCAGCCTCCTCAGCCTCTGCCTTGTTGCCGTTTGGAGCTGCAGAATCATCTGTCGTGAGGACTGCCCTGTGCACTGTGGGAGGGTTTAGCAAGTCCTGGGCCTCCACCCAGTAGTTGCCTGTAGCATCCCCTGCACGGGGTGTGACATCCCCTGGGGGCGAAGGGTGACATCATTACCTCTGGGAGCCCCAGGTCCTGAGCGTCCCAGAACCTCCTGATGCCTGGGTGAGCGGGAACTTGCTGGTTACCAAACGGTGCCGTAGGGCTTCCGAGGCAGAGAAGCAGGTTCCTGTCGGGTAGCGCGGTGAGGGGCTCAGGCGTCTCTGTGCTAGTTAGATGCCGCCCTTGCCTGCGACGGCAGGTGACAGGCAAGGCTTTGGGAGCTCATCCACTTCTCTCACGGCTCCGTGTTAGCCCCGTGCACGCGAGGTGTGAGCGCTCTGCTGCCCAGGCTGTCCCCGGCTCAGGGCTGACACACAGCTCCTCGCTGGTGCTTTCTGTCTCACCCCCCGGAAGGTCACCTCCTCTCTCCCTTCGTGGTACATTTCTGCTTCATGTTGAAAGTGAGCTTCTCGGGGCATTCGAGATTATCCTTAGGGTCTTCCCTTCACAACTGTGGACTGACGAAGGCCATGGCCAAACAGCCTTCAGAGAGTTCTCAGTGACATTTAACCCTTCGGGGAATCCACCCGAATCTTCCCCTTCATTCCTGGCATTGAAACCCAGAAGGCCCTTGGAGGCCAAGGAAGAATCAGGACTCCCCCGGCACACACACACTCACACGACCTGGTGCTGCTCCCTGGTCAGCAGTTTATCGCACAAATCTCTGGGTGGGGTTTGTAGATTCCTTGGCATCCTGAAGTACTAAGTGAAATGTTTAAACAAAGCATTTCCTGCCTCAGAAGCAGTGTTTGCTTTGTTTTTGGTTAAGAGCATTTTTGTAGCTAGAGCTTTTTTTTTCTTTTTAACATTTCTTTATGACTGGTGTTGGAGTAATATAAGGGTGACAGGTGCTGGCCCAGAGGGGCATCAAGCGTGAGACTTCCGTGTGATGGTCAGAGCGTTTGTTCACGAGGGTTCTGCTGTTTCCTGTCACAAAAGCAGGACTCTCCTCGGCCGGCCGAGGTGCCGGAGAGCATCCTCCTCAGTGTTGGTGCTGTTTCGGCTGCACTTCTTCACTGATGGGCACGTCTGGGGACACGTCAGAAGGAAAACAAATGCCCCTGGTAGGTGTGGTGGAGAAGAAACAGTGACTTGAGAGTGGGTGCTCGGAGCCTGGTAGCCGAGAGAGACCTTTCTAGGAGTGGTCATCTCGTGGGGGACCTGAAAACTGTCACCTCACGGGGACCTAGAAACTGTCATGTCGTGGGAGGCATGAAGGGTGCGCAGTGGGCAAGAGGGGAGGATTACCCGGTGCTTGCTCTTTCAGAGGGGGGACATCCCCAAGTTTGCTTACAGACCTTTCTGCTCTCATGCGTCCTTGCCACCTGGCAGGCACCGGTGCATTGCCATTGCCGTGTTCTTGCTCCCAGCTTGAGTTCAGATTCTCCTGGAGCCGCATCGTACCAGATGAACGCCTGTTCTCCCTGGTCGGCATCCTGTCCCATCCTCCTCTCCCTTCCCGTCCTTCCCGTCCCATTCCTCTCTCGCTTGGGGAAAAGCAGTAACTGTAATATCAGGAGAGATCCGTCAGATGTTTTCAGTTGTAAGTTTTAATTATAAAGCTCACTGGTGTCGAAGCTTATTTTTTTTTCAAGATATGTTGATTTGTTTGACAGGCAGAAGTAACAGAGTGAGAGAGCTGGGCCAGACCCAAGCCTGAAGTCTGGAACTCCATCGAGGTCTCCCCTGTGGGCGACAGGAGTCCAAGCACTTGGGCCATCCTCTGCTGTCTTCCCAGGCACATTAGCAGGGAGCTGGATTGGAAGTGGGGCAGCTGAGACTCAAACTGACACTAACAGGCTGCTGGTGTCCCAGCTGGCAGCGTAACCCACTGTGCCACAACCCCGCCCCAGTGTGGAAGTTTACTCCCTCAGTCTGCTTGGAAGCAGCCTTCCTTGGGCTCGAACTGTAGTTCTGTGTGAACGAGCACTGTGATCTGACCACAGAAATGGGAGCTGAGCAATTTGCTTTCTGATTCCAGCCATGAAACTCTAGCTCACTCTCCTGCTCTGGAAAATGAAGTTAAAAAGTTGACTGACCCAACTCTGTCCTCTCTTTATAGCACTTCAGAGTATTTTAATTACATGTACAATGCTCAATTTTTAAAAGATTTATTTATTTATTTATTTGAAAAGCAAAGTTACAGAGAGGCAGAGGCAGAGAGAGAGAGAGAGAGAGAGAGAGAGAGAGAGGTCTTCCATCTTCTGGTTCACTCCCCAAATGGCCGCAATGGCCAGAGCTGGGCGAAACCAAAACCAGGAGCCTGAAGCTTCTTCTTAGTCTCCTACATGGGTCCAGGGGCCCAAGGACTTGGGCCATCCTCTACTGCTTTCCCAGGCACATTAGCAGGGAGCTGGATGGGAAGTGGAGCAGCCAGGGCTCGAATCAGCACCCATATGGGATGTGAGCGCTGCAGGCAGCAGCTTTGCCCACTACGCCATAGTGCTGGCCCTCGATATCCATGTTAAATGACTTTTAGTAGTTCGTCCTCACTTTCTCCTCCCCAAGCTTCCTGTCTTTGCCTGTGCACAGCTCCCAGGCCGGCCACTGTTTCCCATGTGGAAACCCACCCAGGGCAGAAAGGGGCAATATTTAATCTCCAGCAAAGCTTGCATCAGGCTCTGCTGACCATCATTGTAAACAAAATTCCCATTGTATTAGAAAGGGAGAGAGGGAGCAAGGCAGACAAGATCTTCCATCCTCTGGTTCACTTCCCAAATGCCAGCAACAGCCCACGACTGGTCCAGGCTGGAGCCAGGAGCCGTGAACACCACCCAGGTCTTCCATGCGAGTGGCACAGCCCCCAGCACTCGGACCATCACCTGTTGCTTCCCAGGACTGCGTTGGCAGGAAGCTGGACGGGCAGCAGAGTAGCCTGGACTTGAACCAGGCACTCTGATGCAGGATGTGGGTGTCCTAGTGTTGATTTCACCACTGCACCAGTGCCTGTCCTCACCCTGTGTTCTGTCTCTCCATTCCGGGCGTCACCTCCCACCCTGTTCACATTCATCTGTTTGTTCATTCATCAAAGAACATTTAGTCGAGTGCCTATCCGTGGAGGACCAATCCAGTCTAGAAAATGCACGCTTACTTACTGGATGCAGGCAGCAGGGAGGAGTCACAGACTAGATGTCCAAGGGCCATAGGCAACCTGCACATGGGCTTTTTTTTTTTTTTTCAATTGCAGTATTTTTTTTGTCAGAGATTTAGGTTTTGCTCTTTACATATTCAGTTGACAGTATTTGAAGATGGGGCTCTCGGCACTGGGGGCCCTAGGCTGTCTCAAGGCTGCACTGACTCACTGTACCAGCCGTCTCCTGTGCTGGTGACACTGGAGAAGGTGCTGGAGGTGGGGCCGAGGCCCAAGACGTAGCATAAGCTCCATCCTGAGAGGAATGGAGGACAGGACCTGGCACTGAGCTCCCAAGGGCAGATTGTGAAGTCATGAAATCATGATTCTAGAACGTTAGAGCACAGCGATTGTCTTATGCCATGTCCTCCTTTTATTTGTAAAAATAATATACTGGGGCCGGTGCTGTGGTGTAGTAGGTAAAGCTACTGCCTGCAGTGCCGGCATCCCATATGGGCGCCAGTTTGAGTCCCGGCTGCTCCACTTCTGGTCTAGCTCTCTGCTATGCCCTGGGAAAGTAGTAGAAGATGGCCCAAGTGCTTGGGTCCCTGCACCCACATAGGAGACCCTGAAGAAGCTCCTGGCTCCTGCCTTCGGATCAGCGCAGCTCTGGCCATTGTGGCTAATTAGGGAGTGAACCAGCAGATGGATAACCTTTCTCTCTCTCTCTCTCTCTCTCTCTCTCTCTCTCTCTGTGTGTGTAACTCTGACTTTCAAATAAATAAATAAATATTTTTTAAAAATAATGTAGAACATCTTTTTTAAAATACATTCAGCACAGAGATTTATTTGAAAGTACCACTTGGTGTAATTTTGAGTTTTTTTAAAAAAATTATTTATTCATTTGAAAGGCAGTGTTGGGGGGGTGAGGAAAAGAGAGAAAGGGATCTTCCATCCATGGGTTCACTCCCCAATGGGTGGAGCTGGGCTAATCTAGAGCCAAGAGCTTCATCTGGGTCTTCCACGTGGGTGGAAGGAGCCCAAGCACTTGAGCCATCTTCCGCTGCTTTCCCAGGCACATTAGCAGGAAGCTGGATTGGAAGTGGAGCAGCCAGACTCAAACCAGTGCCCATATGGGATGCCTGCGCCACAGGCAGTGGCTTTGCCTGCTGTGCCACAGTGTCGGCCTCCAATGAAGAACATATTAGCTTGTGTTTTGTAGAGAAGGTAATAGAAGTACAAAGGAGAAGTGCAGAAATGGGCCATAGGCCGGCGCCGTGGCTCGCTAGGCTAATCCTCCGCCTAGCGGCGCCGGCACACCGGGTTCTAGTCCCGGTCGGGGCGCCGGATTCTGTCCCGGTTGCCCCTCTTCCAGGCCAGCTCTCTGCTGTGGCCAGGGAGTGCAGTGGAGGATGGCCCAGGTGCTTGGGCCCTGCACCCCATGGGAGACCAGGATAAGCACCTGGCTCCTGGCTCCTGCCATTGGATCAGCGCGGTGCGCCGGCCGCGGTGCGCCGGCCGCAGCGCGCCGGCCGCGGCCATTGGAGGGTGAACCAACGGCAAAGGAAGACCTTTCTCTCTGTCTCTCTCTCTCTCTCACTGTCCACTCTGCCTGTCAAAAAAAAAAAAAAAAAAAGACAAAAATGGGCCATAATCTTTTCCCCAAATAATCTCTCTTGACTTGAAAGGGTAGGTTGTAGTAACACATATATTACAGCCCTCAAACTATATGGGAAAGTTCAGATAATGCAGAAGTCGTCCTCCCAGAACCCCTGCCCCACTGTTGCCCTTACAGAAGAAGGCACAGGAATGGCAGCGCTGTACAGCACACAGTGAACCATTTTACAAAACGGCATTTCCAAGATACATCAAGTAAAAACGCAGAGGCTCTTCAACAGCCCCGCCGTACAGCTGAGACCCCCACGGCTCCTCACCTGGGTCCTGAGAACACTGAGACCCCCACGGCTCCTCACCTGGAGCCCCAAGAACACTGAGACCCCCACGGCTCCTCACCTGAGAACACTGAGACCCCCACGGCTCCTCACCTGGGTCCTGAGAACACTGAGACCCCCACGGCTCCTCACCTGAGAACACTGAGACCCCCACGGCTCCTCACCTGAGAACACTGAGACCCCCACGGCTCCTCACCTGAGAACACTGAGACCCCCACGGCTCCTCACCTGAGAACGCTGAGACCCCCACAGCTCCTCACCTGAGAACACTGAGACCCCCACAGCTCCTCACCTGGGTCCTGAGAATGCTGAGACCCCTGCGGCTCCTCACCTGGGTCCTGAGAACACTGAGACCCCCACGGCTCCTCACCTGGGTCCTGAGAACACTGAGACCCCCACGGCTCCTCACCTGGGTCCTGAGAACACTGAGACCCCCACGGCTCCTCACCTGAGAACACTGAGACCCCCACGGCTCCTCACCTGAGAACGCTGAGACCCCCACGGCTCCTCACCTGAGAACACTGAGACCCCCACGGCTCCTCACCTGAGAACACTGAGACCCCCACGGCTCCTCACCTGGGTCCTGAGAACACTGAGACCCCCACGGCTCCTCACCTGAGAACACTGAGACCCCCACGGCTCCTCACCTGAGTCCTCATAACACTGAGACCCCCACGGCTCCTCACCTGGAGCCCCGAGAACGCTGAGACCCCCACGGCTCCTCTGGGTCCTGAGAACGCTGAGACCCCCACGGCTCCTCACCTGGAGCCCTGAGAATGCTGAGTGGCATGAGGGGCCAACTCCTCCCTGCGGGCCGACCGCCTCCTCCCAGCCTCCCCAGGCTCCCGCCCTCTTCTTCCAGGCCGCCCATCCCACTGTTTCCCTGCGTGTCCCTCCTCTCTCCCAGCCCTCTCCTCTCAGACTTCAGACCCTGAGTGCCGTTGCCTCCTGGAGGTCCTGTGTGACCACAGAGTGGTCAGGTCACTTCTGCCTTCCCTACGTGAGACTCCACAGTGGCCACCCCTCTCCCCATCACCCCTGTAACCCCAAGTGCCCAGCGCGGGGCCCAGAGGTGACAGGGACTCAGTGCCTGGCTGCCCAACCATGATGCATCCCGCGACTCCGGGTGACGTGTTTGTATCGTCATCTATCATCACGGTCTACTGAGTTGATGTAGAGCTGCTTTCTGCCGCCACTTCTGGACATTCGTTAGAAATGGCAAGGAAGACTTTGTTCACGACTGTTCCAACAGAGGAGAGACTGAACTCAGCTCCCAGTACTGCAGGGACAAGTTGGAGGGGGAAGGTGACAGTGGTTAAAGCCCATGGATGGAGAAGGGCGGGGACCAGAAATGCTGAGAGGCGTCTGAGCTACCAGGAGTGGAGGAGGAGGGGCCTGGGAGCCATCGGGGTCAGGGCATTCTCAGTAAAGTGCCTTAGCCCGGATCTCTGCTTGCACTGGACTCAGTAGACCCAGGCCTGGTGGGAAAGTGGGGACCCCCACTGAAGTTTGCTGCAGGAGGCAGTTCTTGTCACCATCAGCCATGAGAGCCATGTGATGGTGGTGCCCTTTGGTGCCTGATGTCACATGCTGATAAAGAGAGACCCCAGAGAACAGGAGGTGGCACTTGCAAAAGCCCTCCACACGTGGGAGCGCCCACGGACGTCACTGCCATCCTTCTCCAGGATGAACCTAACGCCTGATTGTGTTCCAGGAAAGAGCTGTCCCGTGTTGGAGCGTGGCCATGGGTGCTTGTGCTTTCCTCTGGATGTTCTCTCCCCGGTTCCTAGCCACAGGCCTGGCCTGAGTGCTGTGACTTCGGTCAGTATGCATCAGACCTCAGGGCCCCGTGGTGGCTAATTTTGCACCCTGGGTATTGGGTCAGCCAGGGCGACTCTCTTCATTCCTGGAAGGGTCCCAGCTTGGCCCATGCAGTTTTACGTCCTCTCTGCTTAGCTGTCCTCCCACACAGAGGGTGGCACTGGGCCTGGTACAGCTGCTCCGGCAGGTGCAGCGACTCAGTGCGTGCGTCGGTGGTCAGTGCTTGAAGCCAGAAGCCCACACAAGGAATGTGACACAGGCTGCTCTGACCTTCCGCTGGGAGTGGACAAAAACAGGAAGCGTGAGAGGCCGGAGCTGGAGGACTCGGGGCTGGTGCCGAGGGAAGGTGTGGCCAGGGCATCTGGGGATCCACTGTGAGATGTCACCAGTGCCAGTCCACTGTATGCTCTTGGAAACCAGCAGGTGATGTCACGGGCCCATTTTTAGTTTCCAGGGCAGTGTCTGTATTTGGATTCTGCAGTGGCCATGTGAAGAATTGGCAGGACAAAGAACTGGCTTTGCAGTCTGAGAATCGTGGGGGTGCTCATGAAACATACCACCCACAGCTCTCATCTCAGACCTGTGAACACATAGCATGCCCGCAGGTGGGGGCAGGCAGGAGGCCTTGCCCAGCCAGATCCTGGGGGTCTGGTGAACAGCCCGGTCTGGGAAGCATAGCAGTGGAAGAGCTGGACTCTGGGGACCTGCTCTTGCTACCTTGCATCTGTCTGGATGACTGCTCCGTTCTTGTGACAATGTTTGTTGCATGGCCATCTTGGGGCTGGAGCTGGGGTGCAACAGTGAGCCACACCATGCATTTGCTGCCCAGGGTGCTTCCCAGTCCAGCAAGGAGGCAGGCTCCACCTAGTCATGCCCCCAGGATGGCATCACTGGGGTGGCCACAGGGAGCTGTGGGTACTGAACCAGGGCCCACCCAGACTTGAGGCTCAGGACAGGCCTCCCGCAGGGTGCAAGTCAGAGCTGGGGCCTGAAGGATGGAGACAGCAGGGGTCTAGCAGGTGCACAGGCCTCAGGCAACAGAGAGAAGCACAGTGGGAGAAGGGGTAGGCAGGAGAGGTGGATGGCATGTGGGCTCTCAGAAAGCCCGGGGACACCACGAGATCCGGGGCCTGAGTTCTGTGAGTGGGTGGGCACCGGTGTGCAGCCATCCACGGGCCATTTGAGCAGCGTCCTATTGTCGCAAGTAAGCTGAGCCTGCAGACAGGGGTGCCTGACAACCCGTGCCCTCTGTCCGGGGAGGTGCTGGGCCGTGGGTGTGGATGGCAGCATGACAGCTGTGCAGGGACAGCGCCTCCAGTGCTGCTTTGGGTCTGCAACACTCATGCCTGTGTCTTTCTCCCAGATCCTGACTGGCCTGTACATCGGCAACTTCAAAGGTGAGTTCCCTCTCTTTGGAATCATTGTAGGAAAATACACATTAAGTGAAACGTACCGCCCTAGCCATTTGTAAGCACACACACCAGTGACTAAGTAACTCACGCTGTGCAGCCGTCACCACCTTGAAACTCTGCACCCATGGAACACCAACTCCCTCTTCCACCTCCCCGCCCCAGCCCACCAATCACCCTCTACCTTCTGATTCTGTGGATTTGGCTGCTCTCGGTATCTCAGGTAAGCAGAACCACACACAGTGTCTGTCACTTCTGTCTAAGCCGAGCTTCCCCAAGATTGTCCCATTGCTGAAGCACGGGTCGGATTTCCTGCCTTTTCCAGTCCATCATGCGAATGGGCTGCATTTGGCTCTCCACGCGTGTGTGGGCAGACCCTCGTGGAAGGGGCAAACCCAGTTTTTTTTAAGATTTATTTATTTACTTGAAAGTTAGAGTTATGCAGAGGGAGAGAGGTCTTCCATTCACTGTTTCACTCCCCAAGTGGTCGCAATGGCCAGAGCTGTGCTGATCCAAAGCCAGGAACTTCTTCGGGGTCTCCCACGTGGGTGCAGGGCCCAAGCACTTGGGCCATCTTCTACTGCTTTCGCAGGCCATAGCAGAGAACTGGATTGGAAGTGGAGCAGCTGGGTCTCGAACTGGTGCCCATATGGGATGCCAGCAATGCAGGCAGTGGCTTTACCCACTACACCAGAGTCCAGTTTTAAAAGAACAGCTTTAGACCTCTCACGCATGATGGCCACTCGAGGCGTGGACTCAGTCTGCCTTCAGTCTCTTCTGGAAGCAGCCGCTGGTCACACCGTGCCCCGGCCCCTTGGCCAGCAGCTGACCAGGCGACGTCAGGCTGTGTGAGCGCCACGACCTCTCCGGTCCTCCTGACTCTGTGCTTGCCAGGACGTTATTACCCTGAGACGGTGGCGCCAGGCACGTGGCGTTGCTGTGGAGTGGATTTATGATCTCTTGCCACTTTGGTCTGCCACTCACTAGTTCTCAGACTCTGTGGTCTTTGAAGTCTCCCAGGTGACGTAAGCGGTCTCATCTCCGGCAGGTTAGTCTCACCTTTGCTGCCTTCTTTCCTCACACCTGCCTGATGATCTCCCTGTACTGATGGATTTGCTGCAGCTATTGCTGTTCCGTTTTTCGCTCGCCCGTGGAACAAAATGCATGGTGGTCACCAGGCCGGTCCCCCTGCTGAGTTCTGAGTTTAGGTGAAAGCACCCGTCCCTTACGGGAGGTGCAGTTAATGGGAGGAAGCGACCTAGGAGACTTGCTGCAGGTCCGCACGCTCTGGCTGTCGGACACAGCCAGGCCTGCTCCCAGGACCTGACGCTGCCCTGCCCACCCAGGAAGCCAGGACCCGAGCCAGATTGAACACACATCCCGTCTCTCGCTGGCTGTTACTGAAGCTGTTGAACTCAGTTCAGATTGATGCTAAACAGTTTTTACGATTTCTCTGCATGAAGCTCATTTCCCTTTCTCCTCCCCCGTTTCGCGGTTTATTTCCCTTTCTCCCTGTGGGCTCCTAGTGCCGCTGATTGGCCTCAAAGAGGATTGAGCACAGGGAGCTGACAGCTGCTATTTGCTACTAGAACACATTAGGAATAACAACGGAGCCCCCACTTTAGTAAGCTTCGTGGTTCTGCGAAAGCAGTAAATGCTTCGTGGTGGGTGGGCGGAGGCACGGGACACATGCAGTGAGCAAATTCTTTGTGAAGTTATTTAGTGAGCCACTATTAACTTCCTTCATAGGGTGGGGTTATGTCTGAGAAGAGTTCAGTGTAAGCTCTTAGAGCAGAATTGCTAGGACCAGCGCTGCAGCCGGTTAAGCTGTGGGTTAAGCTGCCACCTGTGATGCCAACATCCCACATGGGTGCCAATGCGAGTCCTACCAATCCAGCTCCCTGCCAATGCACCTGGGAGAGCAGCAGCAGATGACCCAGGTGCTTGGACCCCTGCAACCCGCGCGGGAGACCTGGATGGAGCTCCTGGCTCCTGACTTTGACCTGGCCCTGCTCCAGCCATTGCAACCATTTGGAGGAATGAACTTACAGATGGAAGATCTCTCTCTCTGTAACTCTGCCTTTCAAATAAATAAATAAATCTTTAAAAGAAGTAGAATTATCAGGTGAAAGTTTTGCAAATTAAAAGTTTTAATAACTACTGACCAAATTCAGTACTTCTTTCTCCCAGCAGTACCTGAGAGCTGTAGCTTTTCTATTCATAGAAACTTGCCTTTTTTTTTTTTAAGGACATGCATACCTGGTATTAAGGAAATATTCGAAGCTCTTCTTATGCTAGAATCTATACCTGTCTTTGGACACTCAGTGCTGTTGGGGTCCCGCACAGCTCCTGGCTCTGGCCTTGGGATTTCTCCGCTTGGGGTGTTCTCAGCAGCCCACAGCTTCTCCTTGTTTGTAGCTGGTTGGCATCGGCAGTTGCCTTCGGTTGCTGTGCTGTTGCTGTGGTTTTGTTGTGTCCACTGAGCGTTTATGAAATACTGGGTGCAAGGCTCACCGGCAATGATGGAAAGATGGAGCAGGGGCAAGAAGCTGGAAGGAGAGGCAGTGTTGTGTGCTCATATGCTGTGAGTGAACGTGTCCTCTGGACAAGCGCGTCAGGGCCACGTGTCCCCATGCTCGGGTATTGAGAGTCCCTGAGCAGACACAGAACAGGCAGGGATCTGCAGATCGCAGAGAAGCTGATGGATGGCCTTGGAATCCCATGAGCTCATTGCATGCCCTCAGAAGAGTGCAGAGTGGGGACAGTGACGTCAGCCCCACGGGGTGTGATGGGGCCGAGCCAGCCAGTGCAGTGAGGTGCTCAGCTCAGTGTAGGCACCTGGCTGTGGGAAGCCAGTGTCCACTGTGAGAGGGGAACCACATTGACTGTGGGGCCCCCGTGAGAGTGAGATAGTCGCTCGCAGGCTCCAACGCCTGGCCAGGTCTGCACCAGTGAGTAGCAAGGGAGGACACCCAGCCTGTCTCCTTTCCTGGAAGGTGCAGGCAGTGGTCACCTGTGCTTTAGCCCGAAGTCTCATCTGGCCACAGGTCTTTCTCTTCTAAGCAGTGAGTGTAACACACCTCCAGTGTAGAATCGTGTAAAGGAAAAGGAACACGTCTCCCCTCCCCGTCCAATTTCCCACCCCCCCCTTCGCCTCTCCATTTCCTCCTTCCCTTCCTTCCTCCCATCCCTCCTTCCTTCCAGTGCCACTAGGCAATTTCCTTCCTTATTTATTTGGTAAACTTTTAAAAAAATTTATTCACTTATTTGAAACTTAGAGTTACAGAGAGAGAGAGAGAGAGAGAGAGAGAGAGAGAGGAGAGAGAGAGATCTTCCATCTACTGGTTTACTCCCCAATTGGCCAAATGGCTGCAACCATCAGGGCTGGGCCAGGCCAAAGCCAGGAGCCAGGAGCCTCCTCCAGGTCTCCTAAGTGGGTAGCAGGGGCCCAAGGACCCGGGCCATCGTCTACTGCTTTCCCAGGCCACAGCAGAGAGCTGATCGGAAGTGGAGCAGCCAGGACTTGGACCAGCACCTTTATGGGATGCTGGCGCTGCAGGTGGTGGCTTTACCCACTGTGCCATAGTGCCGGCCCCCCATGTATTTCAATTTCCTGATGTGTACAGTGTGGATGGTAGGGACTGGTGCTGTGGTATGGCAGATGAACCCTCCACCTGTGACACCAACATCCCATATGGGCACTGGTTGGTTGTCCTGGCTGCTCCATGTCCAATCCAGCTTCCTGCTGATGGCCTGGGAAAAGCAGCAGCAGATGGCCCAAGGGTTTGGGTCCCTGCCACCCATGTGAGAGACCTGGATGAAGCTCTTGGCTCCTGGCTTCAGCCTGGCCCAACCCTGGCCCTTGTGACCATTTGGGGGGTAAACCAGCAGATGGAAGATCTCTCTCTCTCCGTCTCTCCTCTCTTTGTTACTCAAGTCCCGGCTGCTCCACTTCTGATACTCCTATTGGTTTTGTTAAAGTGGATTGTGCTTGTGACTGCAAGTGGCTCTGAGCGGTTTTCTGGCTTAGAAATAGTAGTAACACCGCTTGGCGGGGTGGTGATGTTGGTACTAGGTCAGAGGCCACACCCCCAGGCCACCAGGGCTCAGGATGTGGGGTGCACAAGGCCCTCAGAGGATAGAGTGCAGGCTGTGGTCAGTGGGGCTGTGGTGGGCCTGTGAGCCAGCATTGTTAACCCACTCCGGGGAGGCCCTGCTGCGGGAGCCAGGCTTGCGTTGAGTTCTGCCCCTGCGATTCTGTGCCCAGGAAGAGCTGGTCTGGGACTTCCAGGCTGTGCTCGAGCATGTGGGCAAGACGGTGGCCCCAGGGTCGCTCCTGGCCGTGTTCCCGGCCCCTCACCACGGCGCCCGAGGCTGCAGGGAGCCTTCCACAGTGATGGGTGGTTTGCATCTGTCGGATGAAAGGCCCGGGGTCGTCCTCTATCAGTGTGGATTCCGCCTTCTGCGCTGTGCTTCACGGGAGGAGGGACTCCCCGAGGGTTCCAGAAGGCACTGGGAGAAAACACAGCTGCACAGGGCGCCTTCCGTCACCGAGTGATCTGTCTTCACAGATGCGTGACTTTATTCCCAGACAAGTTTGTTTAAAAAAGATTTTTGTATTTGAAAGTCAGAGTGAGAGAGAGAGAGATGGAGAGACAGAGGACTTCCAGTCACTGGTTCACCCCTCAAATGGCCCCAAATGGCCACAAACACCCCAGCTAAAGCCAGAAACTCATCCAGGTCTCCCACATGGGTGCAGGGGCCCAAGCACTTGGATCATCTTCCACTGTCTTCCCAGGCACAGTAGCGGGGAGCTGGATGGGAATCAGAGCAGCTGGGTCTCGAACCGGCACTCATGTGGGATGCTGGTGTCACAAGCAGTGGCTTAACCTACTGTGCCACGATGACATCAGCTCCACAGACAACTTGTAAAGACCATAATCTGTGTTACCAAAACACGTTGATAGGGCGAAGACAATGTGTGAGAGTTAGACTGTGGCTCTGGTTACACCGCCCTGAGTAGGCTAAAAATGGCTGCGCTGTATTTTAAAGGATGAGTTTATGATGTGTGAATTACTTCTCAATAAACCTGTCATAGAAAGAGAAAAATATACAGTCATCCTTTGGTATCGGTAGGGTGCTGGTTCCAGGACTCCCAGGGATTCCAAAATCGGTGGATCCCTTCTGTGCTCAAGTCCCTTCCGTGCACAGTATCTGCATAGAAGCCGTGTGCACCCACTGTGTGCTTCACATCGCCTCCTGGTGCAGTGTGAATGCCATGTATAGTGGTTGTGCCATGGTTATACCATGGCATAGGGAATAATGACAAGGAACAGACATCTGTACGTGTTTGGTACACATGTGATTTTCTTTTCTGATTATTTTGATCTACGCGCCATGGTCGAATCCACAGATGTGGATCCTGTGACTGTAGGAAGAACCAATATTAAAACAAGTACTGATTGCTGAGATTCACACCCTGGGCAGAACTGGTCCAGGAGGGTCCACGGGAATGGGCCACGCACCTGCTCTGTCAGGCTGCCCTGCTCTCCAGGCCTCCTCTTTGGCCCCAGGGAGGCCGCCTTGAGCTCCGAACGCTCCATCCCCAGCTTGTGTCCTTCCTCGTCTGTGACGCACACACTGAGGATGAGTAGGACATTTCTTTTTGGTGTGTATATGGAGGCTGGCTGCCTGTGGGCCCCCTACCTGGTTCCCTGTGGGGTGACCATATTTATTTACAGGTTAGAGCTGCCTCCCTCTGCTTCTGATTGCGTCCTGAGCATTTCCCCATGGTAGCCAGTAGTCTACAGAAACAGGCTACCGAAGCGCTTTCTGTCAATCCGTTTTACCCTCTTCCTAGAACTCAGCCAGGTCAGGGCAGGGCTCTAGGGAGCTGACCTGCTTGTTTTGTGCTCACCCCAGCGTGGTAGATTAGCAGGGCTTCCAATTTGGGGACCTACTCCCTTTAATCTTCTTTCTGCAGGCTGGAGCATTGGAAGGAATATTATTTTGGTTTCTGTTTATACTCCAATGTAAATAAGTAATAACCAACTGTTGACTGATGGACAACTCTGTTTGGAACTTCCAGAAAATCTCCCATTTTTCCTTGTGCTCCAAAGTGAATGTAGACATAAGACCTCGTCCTGTCTGAATCCACGCCTGCCCCTGCGTTTGCTGCCGGGGCAGCGGTAGCTGGGGGTCTCTGTATGTTTTGCAGTGAGTGGGTCTTTTGTGTTCACTTGTAACTTGGATGACTAACCATTAAAAGGCAATTGATTTTCAAAAATATTTTAAACTTCTTTATGGCTCTGTGTCTCATGTCGAAGCCTGATCTTGCCCATGTGAACTACAGAATCGACTCACGTCCTTTGATGGCAGCCATCATGATTATAGTGTTTATTCATTGAAGGACATTTCTGGTTTTACATAAACTCTGGATCAAAAGATGTGCCAATCAGAAAAAAAAAAAAAAACAGACAAAACACATAAAAGCCATGGCTCTCCATTCCCATATCTAGATTGTTCTGAGTATGTTCAATGATGAAGTTTCAAGAAAGAAGTAAACAAATTGTTGTGTGCTTTTGTTTTTCTCTGGCTGGACTTACGGAGTATTAACTTTCAGAGACAATTAACACACTCATCCCTTTTGTTCAATGACAGACGCCAGAGATGCAGAACAGCTGAGCAAGAACAAGGTGACACATATCCTGTCTGTCCACGACAGTGCCAGGCCCATGTTGGAGGTAAGAGAGGGCTTCAGCAGGTGTGTGTCTGGGTCTGCACTGGGTTCCCTGGCAACGGAAGCGACACTGAGGACGGCGGCCTTGTTCTCTGTGTGCCCGCAGCGGCTGGCGCTCTGCGTTTGGTGCTCAGGCTGTGTCTGCCTGACTCCCAGCCCTCGGCACGGCGACGGCGGCCGGGTGTGTTCCTCTGTGCTCCAGCAGCATTGCTGGCTTGGCTGTCTTGGCTAAGTGCCAAAGAGTGAGCTGCAGCTGCATTTCCCTCTGGAGTGCAGGGACACTGAACACTCACTCCGTTCAAAATCATCTCCCAGGCTGCTCATTTCCTGGTTTTCCCCCATCTAAGCTCAGATACCTTTGATTTGCATTCGAGAGTCAGAGACAATGAAGGTAAATGGTCTCAGGAGACTTTGGAAACTCTCAGCGTAGAGGCTGTTGCTGTATTTTGGGTTTTGGGGTAAACAGGGTGTGTCTACTTGCATACTAATTCCAAAAACATTTTCAATTTAACCCGCTGGACGGTTTTAGCTGTTGGCCAGGAGCAAGATCTATTTCTGTTTATTAGCCTTGACAAAGCCCAAGTTACCTCTTTTTAGCAAATAATGTGCGTGTGGTTGTGATTTGTATGTGTTTTTCTATTTTAGGGTGGGGTGCTGGAGAGGGAGGGGTGACTTGTTCTTAAAGAAGCAATCCCGGTTCTAGCTGTTTTCACTGAAATTCATATCATTCAAGAGAAGGTAGTATTTTTTATTTTATTTTTATTTTGTGGAGTCCAATTTGGAGCTGCCAGAATATAGTTGGCATGAAACAAGCAGAGACAGAAGAGAACAGGGGAGAACGCAGAACAAGGGACTCCATTCATTGTGACAGCAGCAGAGCATCATGGGTGCTGAGCAAACCTGAATCCGTTCCTCCAGGTCCGTGAGCTCCACTTCCTTCTGCTGTTTCAGCTCATCGGGTTGCTTTTTTTTTTTTTTTTTTTCTAACGTGGGAAGATTTGTGTTGCAGCCTGATTTTATTGGAAACAACAAAAAAAATTTTTTTGAGCTTCACAGTTGCTTTGAAAAAAGCTTTTTTAAAAATCAACAATAGTTTGCATTTAAAATATAGCCAAGCTATGGCCAACTTAAACTGCACACTGGTCATGATTGACTTCCTCTTTAATCACAAGATGAGGCTTGAGGTTTCCTTTATTTTAATAAATTACATACAGGTCCTTCCCCCTCACCCTCCAGGCCTTCCTCGCTCGACACTCGAACACCCTGTTTCATGGAACACATTGCCATGTGTGGCCACGGCCCTTACATATGTTCACATTGTGATTTTGCCCAGATGCCAGATCTCCACGTGTTAGAAATGGAAGAGCCACAGTCCTCACCTGTCCTGCCTCCCCATTCTGCACACGGGAAATGGCGGCAGGTGCGTGAAGCAGGTGGGAGTGTAACCCAGGCACAGAGAGACCAGCGCATAGCCCCTGAGGCCCACTGCATCGTTCCACCAGCAACACACCACGTGCTGTCCTGTGTCATCTACAAGGGACAAACTCTGCTTTACAGTGAGGAAGGGAAGAAGAAAGCTTGAGGGGAAGACGGAAAATTCTGCCCCCTTTTCCCCAGGGACGGCTTTATCTGGGGACATCCTGTTGTAGTCTTTGGGTGCTGTCACTGCCTGAGCTTGCTGGCGAGTGCTTCTGTGTGAGCTCGTCTTTACTAGCCCCGCTGTTGAATAGCCTTCCCCCTTGATCACAGGTAATTCATGAATAATCTTTAGCCAAGGAGCCACTCAAACAATAGCCCCTCTGACTGCAGGAGTAGGGAAACGCAAGCGCCAGAAGTCGTTTGAACTCGCCCTCCGCGTTCATTAACAGAACGAAGTTGCAGGGTTTGGTCTGTCTTAAATCTCAAGCTGCACTCCCTAGCCTTGAGCTCTGGCAGCCTGAGATGAGTCAGGGTCATTGGTTGTGTGGAGTCGGTGGGGACTGGTGGGTGGATTTTATTCTGCGGCAGCTGTTAGGCTGGCCCTGACTCTTGGAGGGAAATAGGGCAGGATGAAGGGGAGAGGGGACAGTGTGTGCAGGGCTGAGCCCAAGGGGTGGGCTGCTGCTCCACCTGGTGAGGGGCCCAGCAGGAGGCCGGAATAAGGCGCGGGAGAGGAGAGGGCTGGGATCCCAAAACCAAGCGTGTTTGTCCGATGGCCCCGAATTTACGGCAGGTGCCCGAGTCTGGGACTGAGCGTGATGGGGGAGAATTCAGCCCCTTGTGTCCATGTGTCCTGCTGCTGTTCCAGGCAGGCCCCGGGCACCACACTGTAGACACGTCTTTGGGTGGCTTCCGACAAACGTGTCGGTGGGTTTTTAAGCACTTGGGTGCTTCACAGCCGTCATCAAGGACGCTTGCAATCTTCCGTCTGCTCTTCTTGTGGGGGAGTTGAGTGAGAAGGAAGGCACGCGGTTGAGGGCGGCTTCCTGCACCGGGGTCATTGGTCGGGGCTCTGGGAGGACTCTCAGGATGGGCTCGGACGTGATGCCGGCGGGGTGGGGGGAAACACTGAGCCCGGGGGCTGGGCCGGTGGAGGCCTCTCGGAAGGTTTCCCCGTTGTGCTGATGGAAGAAGGGAGGGAGGGCTCTCTGCTGGAGGAATACATGTGCCAGTCTTTCCGAGCAGGGGCAGTTTGTGTGAGCCCACGCTCCTGTCCCCGTCACCTGCTGAGGTCACGGGGATGCCGAGAAGGAAGCCCTGGGAAGGGCGTGCTGCCCCTTGGAGCCTGGGCAAGGCTCCTGGGCGGGTGCTTGCTCTGAGGGCTGCTCCCCCGCTGCCGAGCTGAGACTCCTGGGGAGGGCAGTCAGCCCCAGCCCTGGGCTTGCTGCCCGCTGCCGGCTGCCTTTGTGCACACACCACGTCCTGGTCCTCTTTGCCTTTGTTTTGTTCCAAGAACCTGCTGTGGAGGGGATGGAGACTGTACCTTCTTTTGCCTGTTACAACGTCTCTGAGTGGCGAGAGCTGAGACTCGGCCAATATCAGCGGCAGCGAGCGCACCCACAAGGGACGGTCTGCTAGAGACATGTTCAGTCGTTGCGCATTGATTGGTTTCATTTAGGGAGGAATTGGGGAACTGATGACCCGATTGATTTGGGCTGGGTTAGATGTGACCCTGCATCATTTGGGTAGTCTGGGGGTAGGGAGGAGCTCTGTGTTGGCAGTGCCTGGTCTCTGTGGGGCAGCCTGACGTGGGGGAGAGGCTGGCAGATGCTGGTCTCAGGCCTTCTGGGAGTTCTGGGGGTCGGCTGGAGCTGGGCAGCCTCTGGTGCTTCCTTGGTGGACGGGACAGGATTTCTGTACGCTCTGAACCAGGAGACCAGGGGCCTGAGCCCCCAGTTACAGGCAGACCTCCCAGCACAAAGGGTCCCAGAAACGCCGGAGAAACTCCCGGACCGTGGCAGTCGCTGACTGTGAGTTACAGCCGAGACGCGAAGAGCTCCGTCTCCATCTCTGCCCGCCGCTCTTCGTCTGACACAGGAATCCCAGCAAAGTGGGGTCCGACTCCACCGCTGCGTGAACCAGAATCCTGAAGTTGAGAGACGTGAAGGGCCCTGCCCAAGGACCCTACAGCCGGCCCGGGCAGCTGGATGGGAAGCCAGCTTCTCTCCCAGGCCAGAGTCTCCCAGCACGCCTGCTGCTTGTCATGGCCGCCTCGGTAGCGGTAGCTGGGTGTGAGTGGTGATCTCCCCACCCGGCCCCAGCACTGAGCTTTCTTCTTCTCTGCTTCTGACTGGCAGGATTTTGGTTTTGCCGCAAATGCCGTCCTCACATGTCCTGCTGCTTTGCAGACAAATCTCTTGAAGTCAAGGGGTTAGTGATTCGTTCTGTTGAGCTCCTACTGTGTGCCAGGCCCTGGGGTCTGTGGTGGCAGAGCCCTTTGTGTATAAACCAGCTGTGTATCGTGGCTGTTTTATAAATATCCTCGGTGACTACAGTCCAGTGAGAGAAGAGCCTGGCTTGGATCAGGCGAGGAATCTAACGGGTCCTTGTTTGCGGCAGCTCCCTTTTGTGCTGTGTGAGTGAGAAGCTGCCTGGGCCTTTGGGGGAGGCTGGGAGTTCAAACTACCTGGCTCTGACCCTGTGGCCTGGGAGGGAGCTCCAAGCCAGGACTTCCTCTCCTGTGGCCCGGACTCTGCACCTCGCTCTCAGGAATGCCGAGCCAAGTGGATGGCATCACCCTGGCTCCTCCGTGGAGTACCCAGGCTAGGGCACTGCTCACAGCAGAGCTAGGTTTGGAAGCTGAAGTCTTCCTGCCAGACAGTGCCCTTGGGGGGAAACATTGTCACACTGATTACAGAAAGTAGAGCCAGAATTGGGAAGATAATGGTGAAGTTTGGTGGGGGATTCGCCTTCCTCTGATGCCCTGCTCAGCCCTCCACAGGGGGTTGCTCTGTTCTCTCAGAAGTGTCCCTTACTATGTGACAGGTGTGAGCCTGTGACTTCGGTGCCTACTGATTTCTCCAGGTTTTGGGATGGGGAGAATGAAAACTCCTGTGTCAGAGACGTGATTTTTCAAATCAGAAGCCTGAAATTATTCGTAGATGCTGAGGAAGTAATATTGAGCAATGAAAGGTTTCTCTCTTCCCCTGAAAAAAGAAACAGAACACTATCTTCCTAAGGTAAAAATTTCAGAGTTTGTTTCATTTTTCATTCTGTGTATTTAACCAGAGCACCTGCAGGAAGCAAAACTATTTTTCACTATTAACAAAAATGCCTTGAACGTTTCGCATGCCTTCACTAGATTGGCGACCTAAAGATTTTAATTGTTAAATGATATATATTGTATGATTAAAAAGAGAAATAGCTTGTACGTATACATGCAAAGCAGAGGACGATATGTAAACCAGCTAGGATTTACGGGCTGTACTTCAGCTGGGACTTTTTTTTAGTGTGGCTTGTATATTCTGAACCATTTACGTTTTCTTCCTGTTTAACAGAATAGAGTGCCTTCACGGGCAGACTTTCATCATTCCTGGTGATTCTGTCTTATGTTTCCTTTAATATTAAGGACACTTCTTCCGGTGACGCTGCCCAGAATTTAATTCTGTGAGTTGTATCTTGCCCTGGTCCTGATGTTTGCTGTTGCCCCTCTTGCACTGCTGTCTCACTCACCTGTGTGTGTGTGTAAGGAAACCCTCGCCAAGGTGAGATGCCCGGGTTGCCTGGATAGTCCTGTCCTTTGGCACTGGGTCTGTCCCCGGGGGCCGAGTGGCCCCTGGCTAGAGGCGCCCCAGGACAGAAGCGAGGTGCTCAGAGGCATTTAAAGCTCGAGCAAGCTGCTTCAACTCTCTCGTCTTTCTCCTTCCCTCCCTCTCTCGCCTGCCCAAGTCCACCCCTGCCTCAAAGCCCAGCCCCAGCTCACCTGGCTCTGAGAGGAACACTCCAGTGCCCACCAGCCACAGGGCTTCTTCCCCTTCTCTGTGCTGTCTGTCCTGGGACAGCCTCTGGACCATAGCAGACGGCATGGTACCTGTTTGGTGCTCCAAGTCTCCTGGCCTGGCCCCTGAGCTGGTGGCAGGCAGGTGCCGTGTTGGGGTTTCTGGAGGCACTCGCTTTGGGTCTGGCACATGGGTGCCGGCTCTGCAGGTGTTTGCTGGGCACAGGGAAAGCGCCACGCGCACGTTCAGCTCCACAAAAAGAAAGAAATCATGTCTTTGGCCACTCGCAGCTCATGGAGGGGTGTGAAGGTCGAGCTGTGTCAAGAATGATTTCTCGATCCTGAGTAATTTTGGAAGCCAAGGATCCGATGAGTGCAGTGCAGCCTCCCTCACGTGAGCTGTGTGCGCCTCACTCACGTGAGCTGTGTGTGCCTCACCCACGTGAGCTGGGTGTGCCTCACCCACGTGAGCTGGGTGTGCCTCACCCACGTGAGCTGCGTGTGCCTCACCCACGTGAGCTGCGTGTGCCTCACCCACGTGAGCTGCGTGTGCCTCACTCACGTGAGCTGCGTGTGCCTCACTCACGTGAGCTGGGTGCGCCTCACTCACGTGAGCTGGGTGCGCCTCACCCACGTGAGCTGGGTGCGCCTCACCCACGTGAGCTGGGTGCGCCTCACCCACGTGAGCTGGGTGCGCCTCACCCACGTGAGCTGGGTGCGCCTCACCCACGTGAGCTATGTGTGCCTCACCCACGTGAGCTGGGTGCGCCTCACTCACGTGAGCTGGGTGCGCCTCACCCACGTGAGCTGGGTGTGCAGGACCTCACCTGCAGGGAAGCACGGGCAGGCGGGGATGCGTATTTTATGCAGCAACCCTGTTCTCTAGTTCAGAATCCTCTCGTACTAAATTATGACAAGAATCCCCTGCGGAGCTTCTGGACTTCGAGTGATCTCTGGGGCATCCTTCAGCTCCTTTGGTTTGGTCTGTAAGGAGGAGCGTGCAT